ACTTTAGAGGGCTGTCTTCAAGAGACTTTCCCCTAGTCATCCAAGAAGCAAAAAACCCTTTTTGTGCCTGGTCTCAAAAGGTCAGCGTTTGATTTAATAAACCTCTCTACAGGAAACAAAACTCTGGCCTCCAAAAGTACTAGTCTAGCACTTATGGGGCCCAGGTGTTTCAAAATGTTGCTAATGAGGTATACCGTCTTTTATCTGTCAGTTATCAATTTGAATCCTGCCCAGAACTGAGAATTAAGAAGTGTTGCCATTTAATAAAATTGTATTAGACCATATATGCAAAGAGTTTGGTACACTCTGATTCCATCATACAAACTTACCATGATGCTTTGCAACAGGATGCAACTACCTCTTAATATGTATCAATACTGGGCCTCAATCTGAACTGTGAAAACAGTGCATACAAAAGGATTGAATTTTATAAGAAATGTCATTACATTTTTAGTAGATTTCCATAACAGACTATTTCTGCCCCCTGACTAAAGATGGACAAAAAGGTTTGAAGATAGGTTCTTTAGCTCCATAGCATAGATGTCTGCCACTTGAGCTGAAGGAATTTTTTTAAGTGGAATTAGGCTGTATTCCCTGTACACAAGGTCTTGAGAAGAACACAACACAGGTGTGGCTGATAGGTTATACAAAGCACAGGAATGTTAGGTATCCAGATTTCTGGGTTCAATGCCAGGATTTATGAGCAGTTTTAGCAAAAGTTCTTAGTTAAACACCACAGAACATGCATTTGGTATGTTCATGCTGAAATGCTTTGAATTATGTAATACGGTGACAGAAGTCATTGAAGTGACTATATAACCTTTCAGTTAGTTTGGGTTTAAAAAAAAAGACAAAAATGATACTTGTCTTCCTCCTAGATTGATGCAAGGGCCTTGTTACATGTTGCACTTTGACCTTCTCAAATGTTGATCTGTGTTAGTGCCAGCTTGTGTTTGGAGCAGCCAAACCTTAAAGCTAAAAGCCTTTTCTTACTATCCCACGCCTGCACAACTGTGACTTGCCACTAAAGGGCTGGTGAGCAGGGGCCTGATCAGGGGTGCGTGAGATGGGTTGGTGGAGATGGGAACATGAAGCTGGGAGGCAGAGGATTAATGGTATGGGGGTAGGTAATGAAATGGGAGGTGGAAAGGAAATGGAGGTGTGAGAAAGGTGGTAACGTGATACAAGTCAGCCACCAAAAGATATGGTAGGGGGAAAAAGAAGTTAAAAAGAAATAAAGAGGAAGTAAATTAAAGAAAAAATCTCCAATTTTAATGAATTAGGATTTGGTATTGGGGTGTGAGGGGACCCATCTGTGCCATGCAACATGTCTAGCTGGCATGTGTTCTGCAGGCTGTTTGCATGGGGTTGCACTACTGGTGGTGGGAAGGTTATACCCCCAGGGGCAGGTGGGGGAGTTAGCTTGGTTTCGGAAACAACTGTTGGGCAGTACAGTTCAGGGGTAGAAAGTTTATCCACACAGAACAGGAGGGTGGAGAATGGGACAGTACATCTGGGGATGGTGAAGGACTATAACTTAGGAGTGGTCACACATTAATGAAATACAAGCTAGGTAACACAGATCAGAGATAAACTTGGCCTGGAGTGGTATAATTTTAAGCCACCTAAAGTATGTTTAAAACTAGTTTCAGATGTTACTGTGTGGACATCCCATGAGTTAAGAGTTCCAGGAGCCACTTAAAATGAATGTGTACCAAGGCCCTAAGAGGCTTGGACAGCAAGCATTGTGATATGCACAATATAATTAGCCTCAAGCAATGGAGATAAATAGGGGACAGATCATACCACAATTTCTCCTGGTTCTTAGCATGATGCTGATGTTTCCATTATGGTGAAGCATGTTTTTTGTTTTGTTTTGTTTTTTTTTTCGGGGGGGAGGGGAAGGGAGAGAGGGAGGGAGTTGGGTGCTCTCCTGATAAAGACGCATCACAAGAGGACTGAAAATGGCCCTGCCTGTGGTAAGAGAAGTTGTTACTGCTTTTTTTTCCTATAAATTTACAGCAAGTACTGGTAAGGCAAAACAAATTGAAATTCCACATAGATGGACTAGTTGAGGTTCCACAGATGATTATATAACCTAAAAAGCATGGGTATATCACAGTCTGGTTCTTATTCTCCAACAGACACACTGTAGTGTTAGATATGAAGGACTCTGGGCTGGCAGGTACAAGGTGGCTAGAAATAATTAAAGTAGAACATAAGGAAAGCCAAACATTAAATAGAGAGAACTGGTAAACCAATATTGCTAATCCAGCCAACTGAGTAGCTCCTGGAAACAAGGAAAAATGAAAACCTGGCAATTTTCAGATTGTATTTATATGGGTGGGAGGTACTCATCTATTTTGTTCCCCCTACCCCCTATATTTCCCGAGGGCTATTTCCATCTGCCTGGGCTGGCATAGGAATAACCCCAGGAGTATTAGGGTTCTAGCCTAGACTTTAGCTCTCAGATACTTGAGACTAAAATGAAATGAACGTATTAGAAGCCATCCAGATATCAGATCTAAACTTTCAAATATATTATTTCTGCCTAAGAAAGCACAGACAATCAATTGATTGATTCTTATCTTCTAGCCCTGTCCTTTCTGTAGGTGACTTATGTAAGAGCCCTCAAGCAATATGTTCCCTGAAAGCATTTCAGAATGTTAATTTTTATGATCAAGAAGGATTTATCTAACATTTTAGAAAATTATTTATGGCTGTTCATTCAGATGAAAAAGGCTGAACTGACTACAGAAAAATAAAGGAAGTGATCACAAATATGGCATCCTAAATATGCATCATAAAGTAAGGAGAGCCAATGCCTTGGCAGATGGCCACAAATACTACTGTATCCTAGAGTCTATAAACACAGAAAGGTTCAAATGGGCTGAGATAGCCAGTTATGGGCAGCTGAATTTTTGAAACACTGACTCTTTTTCTTTTCTTTTCTTTTCTTTTTTTTTGGGGGGGGGGGGGGGGGGGGGG